TCAGACTGATGTCAAATAGTTTACTAGTTATGTTTTCTTCCAGGAGTTTTATGGTTTCAAACCTTACATTTAAGTCATTAAACCATTTTGGGTTTATGTTTGTATAGGGTATAAGAAAGTGGTCCAGTTTCATTTTTTTCCATGTATCTGTCCATTTTTACCAACACCACTTGTTAAAGAAACTATTATTTCTCCACTGTATATTCTTGCCTGCTTTGTAGATTAGTTGACCATATGAGCAAGTGTTTATTTCTGGATTCTCAATTCTGTTCTATTTCTTTTTTTATTTTTATTTTCATTTTTTATTATTGTTCAAGTACAGTTATCTCCATTTTCTACCCCGTCCACTGCCCTCCCCCTCAGCCATCCCCATTTCCCACTCTCTATCCTACCCCACTTTGGATTTGTCCATGTGTCCTTTATACATGTTCATTGACAACCCCCCCCCCACCCCATTATCCCTTCCCACATACCCTCTGGTTATTATAAGTTTGTTCTTAATTTCAATGTCTCTGGTTATATTGTGCTTGCTTGTTTGTTTTGTTAATTAGGTTCTACTTATAGGTGAGGTCATATGGTACTTGTTTTTCACCACCTGACTTATTTCACTTAGCATAATGCTCTTCAGATCCATCCATGCTATTGCAAATGGTAGGAGCTCCTTCTTTATTACTGCTGCATAGTATTACATTGTGTAAATGTACCACAGTTTTTTGATCCACTCATTTACTGATGGGCACTTAGGTTGCTTCCAGCACTTGGCTATTGTAAATTCTGCTGCTATTAATACTGCTGTGCATAGGTTCTTTTGAATTTGTGTTTCAGGATTCTTGAGGTATAATCCCAGCAGCGGAATTGCTGGGTCAAAAGGCAGTTCGATTTTTAGTTTTTTTGAGGATATTCCATTTGTTTTCCAGAGGCTTGCACAAGTCTGCATTCCCTTCAACAGTACCCTAGGGTTCCCTTTTCTCCACAACCTTGCCAGCACTTATTGTTTGTTAGTTTGGTTACATGGCCATTATGATGTGAAGTGGTAACTCATTGTGGTTTTAATTTGCATTTCTATGAAGGCTAGTGATGCTCAGCATCCTTTCATATGTCTCTGGGCCCTCTGTATGTCCTCCCTGGAGAAGTGTATGTTCAGGTCCTTTGTCCAATTTTTAATTGGGTTGTTTGTCTTCCTGGAATGGCATTGTGTGAGTTCCTTATATATTTTGGATATGAAACCCTTGTCGGAGGTATCATTTGTAAATATAGTTTCCCACATGGTCAGTTCCCTTTTCATTTGGCTGATGTTTTCTTTAGACGTGCAGAGACATTTTATTTTGATGAAATCCCATTTGGTTACTTTTTCCTTTATGTCCCTTGCTCTACGGGACATATCAGTGAAAATATTGCTGTGTGGAATATCTGAGATTTTCCTGCCCCAAGAATATTTATGGTGTTGCAACTTATATTTATGTCTTTTATCCATCTTGAGTTTACTTTTGTATATGGTGGGGTTTTTTTTTATTGTCATGTAGCTGCCCAAATCACTCAACACCATTTGTTAAAGAGGCTATCTTTACTCCATTTTATGCTTCTGCCCCCTTTGTCAAATATTAATTGACCATATAAACATGTGTTTATTTCTGGGCCCTCTATTTTGTTCCATTGAACTATGTGGCTGTTCTTATGACAGTGCCAGGCTGTTTTGATTACAGTAGCCTTGTAATACAGTTTGATATCAGATATTGTGATCCTTCCTACTTTGTTCTTCTTTTTCTTAATTTATGTGCCTATTTATATACTGTTTTGATTATTATAGACTTGTAGTATAATTTGAAATCAGGATGTGAGATACCTCCAACTTTGTTCTTCTTTTTCAAGATTGCTTTGACTATTTGTGGTTCTAATAAATGTTGGGATTATTTGTTCTAATAGTTATAAGAAGCATGTCATTGGTGTTTTGATATGGGTTACATTCAATCTCTAGATTGCTTTGGGTAGTATGGTCATTTTCATGATAATTAATCCTTCCAAATCATGAATATGGTATTTCATTCTTTTTGATGCAACTGTAAATGGGGTTGTTTGTGAGTGTATAGAAATATGAGGACTTTCTGTATACCAATTTTGCACCCTGCTACTTCACTGTAAAAGCTCCCTCTGGGAAATACTGGCACGCTGGAGAGCAGTAGCAAAAGAGCACAGTGAGAGTGCCCACTAGCTTGAGTGAGGCAGAGGAAAGGCATAGAGATGGCAGTGGCCAGGGAAGAAAAAAGAGAAAGAGAATAAAAGAAAAAAAAGCATAAAATTAAAAAATGTTATTCACCAGCTGGAGCAAGGTGGAAGGAGAGCACGAAGATTGTATCTGCCAGTTTCTGTCCCTGGAGAGCACCCGAACAGGTACGTCTTACAAGTACGTCTTACATCAAACACTTGCCACTCAGGCCAACACTCTGAGACAAGCAAATGAGTGTCTCCCACACAATGTCCAATACCCTTCAATTGGCTGCTTGTGCACTGGGCCCTGAGGCAAGTGAGTCTGAGTGCAGGAGTCTTTTTAGAGCCATTTTTCATACCACTGTAGCCTTGTAGGTCTTGTGGGTGTGAGGCGTGTTGGTTTTCAAAGCTAGATGTTTGTGGGGCCCACCTCTCAGATGCAGGTCTTAATTCTGGAGGTGCTCAATGTGGGGTTGAAACCCTATGCCCCTCAGTCTGAAGCTCTGACTTTGAGTTTCCTCCTGATCTTGGGTTGTCACAACAGGGATTGTGACCCCTGTAAACAGTGTGGGGTTTATAGCAAGACTGTGTTCCAGCCTCTCCCACCCTCTTCAACATGGGCCTGCTCTCATTCACCCAATGCAGAGAAATAGCTTAGCCAGTTTTTAGGGTTTTTTTTTTTCAGCGAAAGTTGTTCCATATGTAGCTGTAGATTTGGTGTGTTCATGGAAGGGGGGTGAGTTCAGGGTCCTCTTATATTGTCATCTTCAACCATATCCTCCTAAGCTCATTGATTTTTTTAATCCTAGGTATTTTTTATGATATAAGTATGATAATAAATCAAGTTCAGCTTTGGACATACCACATAGATTATGACTTATAGGGCTTTATTAGTTCTATTACTATTTTATTGTTCCATAATTTCTATGGCCCTCTGGTTGTTTAGAAAAGTGGTTTATACATTTTCAAGTGTTTAGGCTTTTTCTTTTAAATATTTGTAGTAATTTCTAGTTTCATTGTGTGGCAGTCACATATTGTGACCTGTGAAATTTCAATTTGAAACAATTAAGAATTCTTCTATTAAGAATATCATTACAGTTTAGTATATACTAATTTTTAACAGTATGGTTTTATATCTTCCCTTATTACTCAATAAATAATGATTATAGAAAAAGTTTAAATGCATAAGAAGTAGAAATTACCATGGTTAACATTTTAGTCTAGTTATTAATTGTTAATATTTTAATTCTTAGTTAATAGAGTTTTCTTCCATTCATTATATAATTGGTTTTTATAAACATTTAAAGAACACCAGAAAGGTTATCTCTCCACCCATATACACATATATGTATGTTAAATTCAACTTTCTCTGTTGTTTAAATTATTGATATACTTACATGTCTACTTAATTTATCATATATTTAAAATAATTTACCTTTATGCCAATGGCAAATATTGAATAAAATTGGGTTAGGTCATAGATAATTATTTCAAAATCAATATAAAAGTTCCAAGTAATAGTTTAAAATGTCTACGAATAAAATTAAAAGCACAGCATAACTATTCCTGGCCATGGTAGTAGCAGTAGTAACTGCTAGCATTTATGAGCATTTATGGAGGGCTTATTATGTTTTAGATACTCTTCTAAGTGCTTCATATATTCACTGATACTTCACAAAGAACACTGAGTCTAAAGGTCTCATTTTCATTGTAGCTACTAAGTTCTCTTAACTAATTCTTTCTTATCCCACTTCATGCGTATCCCTCTCTTTCCACTCTCCTGACCTTATTCTGGGCTCTCAGCATCCTAGTTCTAAATTACTAAAGTGATCTTCAAACTAGCCTTCCCATCCACCTTCCAATTTGTCCTACATACTTCTGCTAGCTGTTTTTCCTTAAATATCATAACACATGTCACTTCTTTGTCAGAAAATACTCAATGATTCCCTCTGTGGATGGAGTCCAAATGCTCAGGTATAGCAATAGTAATCCTGGAAAGGCGACTAATTGATTTCCCATCCTTTTTTTTAAACCTGAACCATCTTCATGTCTTTGCCCACCACTGCATCTCAATTTAAGCCATGTCTCACTTCCAGCAATGCCCATTTCCCCTGCTTGCTCTCTGCATTCTTACTGTAAGGCCCAGCTGCAGTCTTTTCTTCTTCAAATTCCTTCTGGATAAATCCAAGCCTTCTGAACTCTGTAGGTAATAATGACCTTATTACTCACTGTCCTGAGTGCATGGCTTGGTGGTATATTTATTTTTCTTTTTGTCAAAATGTTTCTAGACTGTTTCATACCTGGTAGTATTCATAGTACCTTTTCTAGTGTTTAGGACTATAATATTATTACATAAGAGACCTGCAAAGCATTCAAATATCATTTAGATATAACAATTGCTAACAGGGCCTCTTATTTACATACATAGTTGACCCTAGATATTTTTATATGACTATAATTTCCTTTGTTTCATTGCTGGCTAAATGACTAGGCTCAAAGATCTCACAGAAAGACACTAGATCATTCCATATTCATACATGTATATAGAATTAGCAATAATGAGTCCAAAAGTTGATGTTGTGTTTATTGCCCTCATCTGAGTCATTTTGAACTTTGTTTTATGAACTCAGGTCATCTGCATCACTAGTTAAAGTGTGGTAACAAGATATGGTGAAAAGCACTTTAAGATGGTCTAGCAAGAGTGACAAAGGCAGGAGTGTGTAGCTGTTTCCTGGGTGTGTGTGTAGCTGTTTCCTGGTCTATTTTCATCAGCAGTTCTCAATCAATGTCCATACCTGCCAGTCAGAAGTTCATACATTAGAATTCCCAGGGACCAATAGTCGGCTGAAATGTCATGGCCTTTGTTCAGGATGATCTCTGGGGCCACATACTCTGGAGTCCCACAAAAAGTCCATGTTTTCTTTCCAAATCCTATTTTCTTTGCAAAGCCAAAATCAACCTTACAAAGAGAGAAAAACAAGATATTTCAAGCCACTTATGATTAAGTTTAAAAGTAAGAAGTTACTTTGCTGAAGTACACTGATGATAACAAAATAAAGATATGTAAGTTAAAATCCTGTCTTCTAAAAGAAATCACCGATATTGTAAACAAAGCCTGCCTGGTCACATTTGCCTTCAGTGGGCTAAGTTGAAACCTAAGTAAAGGATGAAATTCATATCATTAAAAATAAAGGCAAATTTTCTTCCTGGAAACACTTTCCATTTTTTCTTTATTTATGCCAATGGAGGTTGGGGCATAAATGAATAATTTCTCTTTTTTTAAAAGAATCACATTTTATTTACTTTTAAAGAGAAATGAAAGGAGGGAGAAAAAAGGGGGGAGAAACATGGATCTGTTGCCTTTCACATGCACCCCCAACTGGGACCTGACCTGTAACCCAGGCATGTGCCCTGACCAGGAGTCGAACTGGAGACCTTTCAGTTCGCAGGCCAGTGCTCAATACACTGAGTCACACCACCCAGGGCAAGGTTATTTCTCCCTTACTCAAAATTTTAAAGAGACTACTTGGACCAACTTGTTATGTTCCTCAGAGTAGATGAGTATGTGATTTCTGCTGGAGTCAGTGAAATTGAGAATTCATTTAGCATTAATTTAGAAGACACTCTACTGAAGGAGCTAATAACAAAGTGAGGAGACCCATGACTGCTCTTGGTTAGCACAAGCAGACAGAAAAATGAAAATGTTTCCTTCATTTTTCCAGGAAGGTTTTGAAGAAGGATCCTCAAATACAGAAAATCTATTTTTTTCTAAAATGATTTGGTTGAGAATACAAATACTTAACTGCCATTTACTTAACTTCTTTGATAATTTTATGCTGAATAAAAATTCTAAATGTTAAAAGGTTGAATAAGGTACCAAGATAATCAAAGCCTTCAAAAGTCGTGCATTTAAAAAATAAAAATACATAAAAACTTACCTTCCATAATATGTCTTTAACATTCTTGACCAATTTTTTAAAATTATTATCACTACTACTACTATTATTAGCATGATGTGGATAAAATTGTCTGCAAAGCCCATTTTTTCCTAATTGCACTATTGTCAAATCTAAAATATTAAAATGTTCGTAATTTTCCATAATATAAATACCCATTCCCTTTGGGGGACAGAAAGCCAGCTAGAAAAAGAACTTCTACAAAGTTCTTCCAGTTCTGTGAACACATGCCAGCAAGCATGAGTCCACTGTAGCATGTTTTGCCAGGATGTTATTAATTCAAAGCAGCCAATTTAATTTCTCATACATTAAAGAATAGTTAGTTGAAAATAGTAACACTCAAACCTACCTTAAAGGAGAAAAGTTTTCATATGTAAAAAGAAAAATGAGGTTTTATAGTAGCAAATGAACACAACTTATAAACCAGTATATTAAAACTACGGGGCAGAAAATGTGTGAAATATACTGACCAGTTTGGCGTAACCTCGGTGATCTAGGATGAGATTTTCTGGCTTGAGGTCCCTATAAATGATTCCTTTGGAATGCAGATAGGCAAACGCTTCTACCACACATGCTGTGTAAAATCTGGTTGTAGAATCTTCAAATGAACCTCTAAGATACAGAAAATGGAATAAAAAGTATATAAGAAGTTAGTTTGTCCAATAATGTTTTATTTCTAATTTCACTATATTCCTGTACCTAAATCTGACCCCAGAGGCCAAATCCTACTGGCCAAATGTCCTAGATAGCTAATGCATTGGGTTTTCAAAAGCATTTGAGGATTAAAGCAAGGAGTTCTTTGCCCTTATAAATGGGATAGTTTAACTTCCTGAAAACACTGAGGAAGGGTTGAAATTCATACCATGTGTTATGTAGTTGGTGCCTTCCTCCTACTGGCCCACTACAAGCAAAAAGGCACGGATGCAGTGTTGGGCAGGAGAGAGAAAAAACCCTCTTCTAGAGTTTGTCTATCAAGGGTTGTCTTTTAAAGGAGAGTTTATGAGGTTAGTCATATTTATCCATAGAGGACTTGTTTTTGAATCTTTCTAAATAATATGGATATGGTTCATGAGAATGTGATTAAAAGTTAGTATTTTCAAAGAATCCCTTTAAAAATGAGTTGAAGTACTTCTGATACCATCACACCACAAGCTAAGTATTCTTCTGTGTTTGAAACTTCTGTCAGCAAGACAGACAATACCTATTTTCTACCCTGCTACTTTTTTTAGGGATTTTATTTATTTATTTTTACACAGAGGGGAAAGGAGGGAGAAAGAGATGGAGAGAGACATCACTGTGTGGTTATCTCCCACATGCCCCCTACTGGGGACCTGACCCACAACTCAGGCATGTGCCCTAACTGGGAATTGAACCTGCAACCCTTTGGTTTACAGGCTGGTGACCAATCCACTGAGCCACACTAGCCAGGGCAACTTTCTTATTAGAAAGAAAAATAGAGGTAATTTGAAGGAGAAAGGTAATTGGATAGGAAAGTTTATTAGTAAACTTGTTTATGTTGCTTATCAAGAAAGCTCTCTGTCTCTGCCTGTCTCATGCATTCATTTAATAAAGTAATAATAAAGGGAAAAGCCTTGACATCTAAGGTGAGTTCCTTGGTTCCAGCCCAAAGCTTCATAGTTTATTTTCTTAATGGAATTCCTTAAAAAGATAAACTATGATTTTTTCCCCCTCTTTCCCCAGTGGTGAGCACAATTTAATTATTTCATGATAATTCAAGAACATTAGCGTGAACGTCAGCTCTTGAGGGGCTGAGACGTAACATGGGAGACAAGCGCTTGGGCGGTCCGGGGTGGTGTGCAGCAAAGGGGAGCCCCGAGCCCACTTTCCTGAGAGTCACTGATGTCAGTTCGCATTCTGATGACATTTGTTTCTCTTTCAATACTGAGAAGTCAAGTCTAACAAACTGGGAGGTGAAACATGGCTGCTATTGTATAAAATTAATTGGTGAATCCAAGGCAAAAACTGCCACTTTCAGGTCATTTTTCAGAAGCACAGTGTCTTCCAGAAAGGTATTCTTCACGTCAACTCCTAATGTCCCCCGAGTTGTCACTGACATAATTAGCTCTTCCCAAAACAAATCTTCCTTTTGAAATAAACTTGAAGCATGATGATATCTTTTTTAGATAACTAGAACATTAACTGTGATTACTAAGATTTTAGTATCTCTCTTCAACAACATCTGAATAAAACAAATATGAATTATAAGGACAAAAAATATTTGAGAATTGTATCTATATTAGGAAATGAATAATATATTTTATGCTGCCATTTTCTTCTAACTTGGAGTTACTCTAAAAGTATAATCCTGTGTGTTGGGACAGGGATTAAAGTAGAGCCTTTATGGCCCTTTCTTCTTTGTGCTTAATTATGTAGGTTTCCCCATCAAGAGCAGTATATTTCTTTCAACTGGAAAGATTATTTGCTTAAAATAGTAAGCATCCATAATAGATCACTACTAATCTATGTATAACAGACCACAGATAGCAGGTCATTAACACAGAGCTTTGGCTGCTTGAGTGCTGTACATGACGTCGGTCCTCCACAACGGAGAGCACTCAGAAGCCCAAGCAAAGCAGTCCATGGAGTAGAGCCTTGTCTTACTTCGCACTGCATGTATTCTTTTAATAAGAAAATAGATTATTTCCTTGTATCAGGACTGTCTTAATTGTAATTTCTGTGGGCCTTTTGAAAGGCCTACAAATTCTTGATTACAGTTAGAAGAGATTATTTCTGCAGTCGTGACTTTGGGTAACGTATCTCTGTGTTCCTTAATACTCAGTTGTTAATGCAACCAAATGGACAGATGCATTGTTAATGTTGTAAGGAGAGTAAATGCTTATGTGAAAGATCAATTTCTCATGAAAGCTCTGCTGAAAGGTACCCATATTTATATTCTGAATATTAGCAGGGAGATGAGAAAAATCTTACAACTCAAAGTCATCAAAGGAGGCTGTACGTAAAGAATATGGAATCTGAAGCAAGGACCCTAAACTCAACTCTGGGTTTCACTTACTGTGCAACTAAGTATACCTTTCAGGGTCTCGGGGTCTCCCTGTGCAAAATTAGACTAATAGTAAAAACTATCTCACTGGGTTTTGCTGAGCATACAGGAATTGATGCATATGTTTAAAATGAGGGCCTGGCATACAGCTGGTGCTCAATAAATAATAACCATTATAATTGAGCACCAAAAATCTCTTCTTTGGCCACTATCTTAATGTAGGAAAACTGATACAGGACAGGTCTGAAGTCTTTGGGGGATGGGAATGGGGAGGTCACGACACTACTTATCACTGAGTATTTGCTGCTTCCCACTGCCACGGCTAACTGCCACCAGTCGGCTTTGAGGAGCCTCCTGCTAGTGCCTGTTCCTTTTACTTTTCCCATGCTTCTCACAAATGTATGGGCAAAAATTATCCTTTCATTGTCTGCCAGTCAAAACTCTCCTTTTTCTCCCATTAGAATGTGAAGTGAGCACAAGCCATAAATCTTTTGGTTCTCAGTTCTTGACAGCCCTACTCATCAGTTTCACGATTTCTCTCCTCCTGAGCCATTTTGGAATTTGTAAGGTTTTAGGAAGCTAGTTTCCTTTGTTTAGGAGATCTATATTGAGACTCTCACATATATAAACCTATCTGTAACTGCTTTGAAAATTAAATGAAAACCTAATCTCAATTACTTTTCCATGTTATATGATGAATCAACACAACATATGAGAACAAACTGTTTACCAGCAACTCAGTGCCATCGCTAAACTTTTGCTGTAGGTAATTTGAGGATTTTAAGATAACTCTTTTAGAAAGCAGTCACAAAGCATTGTATTAGGGTGACTCAAAATGAAAAATTACTATTAGAATTGGAAATGACAATGTAAATTTGAGCTAAACCATAAATGAAAGCTTGTATTACCAACACTTACATGGTTGCTTAAAGAAATAAATCACCGCCTCATAGCTCTTTGAAATAATACATTATGCCTTAGCAATTGTGTCATTTCAATTACAACAAGTAAGGGATAGGTTCTTACACCCGTTTTGAGAATGACTCTTTATTTTAACTAGGTGGCACTATATAACAACGACTGTACTGAATTAGATGGTTATATATATTGATAGACACATATTAAAATTTAATCGCAATGTTTGATCCACTTGACATAAATTGAGTCCTGAAATAACAAAATATATGTAACAAAGACAGGGCATCTCTTACAGAAAGATAAGTTTTCTCCTTTTACTGAGCAGTAACAATTATTAATGAGAGCATAAACGTAAAGTACCTTGCCACTTGTGCAGGTACCTTGCCCTTTGTAAAGTTTGGGAGGGAGTAAATTATTTTGACAACAGACTCATTTCCTTGAAATACTTTCAACCTATATCATCTATTATTAGGCCTTTTAAGATGGAATGTAAATAATCAGCCTCCATATGACTTCTGGTCAAGATGGGGAGCAGGAAAATGCTGTGCTCACCTCCTCCCATGACCACGTCAAAATTACAATTAAATTATAGAACAACCATCATTGTGAACCACCTAAATACTAGCTGAACACAAGTCCCATAACTAAGGGTATCAAGAAGCAGCCACGTCAAGACTGTAGGAGGAGTGGAGACATAGAAAGGGCAGGTACCATACCCACAGGTGGAGATCGGGAGGAGTATCTTGGCTGTGCAGGTTCCTCCTGAGGAGGCAGGAGGCCCAGCCCCATAACCAGTTCCCCATCCCCAGGCACCAGTGTTGGAAAGAAGAGTCCTCAAAACATCTGGCTGTGAAAACCAGTGTGGATTGCCTTCCTTCTGAGTGAGCCTGAGAGCCTCTGGAGTCCCAGGTGTTTCTCTTTAGGGGCCACGCATGGATTGCCTCATTCACAGACTTGCTAGCTTTGGGCTCTGGTACCCAGACAGCAGGTCAGAGTGCCAGGGCCATAAGGGGAAGAACTGAATTGCTTGGCTTCAGGGTAAGGGCTAGAGGAACAGGGGTTGGGGTGACTATCTCTGGGGACTAAAATGCTGGCAGGCACAGGAACATGCCAAACCTAAGTTCTCCATTAACCTGGATAACACCATTCTCTCCATCCAGAGACCCTGTAACACCCAAATCACATGTCTGGCTGCACCCATTCCAGCAGCTCCCCCACACAAGTAATCTGCTTCGACTTATGCTGCAGACTTTCCTAAAATCTTCCAAAGGCCCACAACCCTAAACAAGCAGCAGCCATACTCTGCATGCCTTTTACTTCTTGCTAAGTGCTCCCAAACCTTGCACAAGAAGTGACCAGTCTCACTTTGCACTGTACCTCCCATCAGGTGGACCCAAGCTTGGCATAAGCTCTGGCCACTGCTGGCCTAGAACATAGCTTCAACTAAGTGGCCATAAACCTGGCATAATAAAGGGCTGACTTCAGCCCACATCATGGTGCCCACCAAAGGAACCCAAGCCCAGTACTAGTAGCAGCTGGCCTCAGTTCTCAGCATCATTTTACCCAAGTGCCTCCCCGCCCAGCACAAGAAGCAACCAACCATAGATCACTCTGTAGCTTCCACTGGGTGGCCCCATGATGGGCACACATGGCAGCTGACTTTGGGCTGCACCAGGTACCCTCTGAAGAAACTCCAGAAACAACACACCAGATGGCGAGCTTCAGACCACACCAGAGCACCACCTAACCAGCTCCACAAATGACAAACCCAAAGGGCAGACGAGGCTGGCCCCAGAGCCTCACTAAAGCAGCTCCTGCACAAAGGCTAGTCCACTGTCACAGACAGTCTGAGAATCAGAGGAAATAGTAAAGTAATTGCAATAATTAATACATCATTGCTATAGTTCATATTTCAAAGTAAAAAAAAGTCTATCTTGTTCATATATATGATATCACTTTAATTCTTGATCACAAAAACTGCTGTGTTTCTTTCCTATGCTGATGAGAAGACAGGGAGAAACAGGAAGTGGTCCGCACAGCTCCTGGGTGAGAGGACAGTGACTGCTGCTCTCGGAGAGAGGCTGCCTGAGCTGCACCCCTGGGCCTGGGGCCAATGCCGCCTGTCAGTGAAGAATAAGGTCACTGAAGGCGCTCTCGGTGGGGAGTGGGGGAGGGCGGGAAATAATGGGGAAAGAAGGGGAAGGGTTGTCAAAGAACATGTATAAACGACACATAGACAAAGCCAAAGGGGTTAGGACTGAGGGTGGGAGTTGGGGGTGGGGCAGGGGAGAGTGGTGGTGGGAAAATGGAGACAACTGTGTTCTGTATTTGAACATTAATTAAAAAAGGATAAAAAAAAGAATAAGGTCACAGAAGGCTCTCTTAAAATTAACCCAAATATATTTCCCTTATACTCTCAGAATAACTTCTCTCTTATTGCCTTTTTCCCCCTGGGACACAAGAAAATTGAATGAATTGAACAATATGGTTTGTTTTGACTCAGGACATTTTCATATATACTGTAACTAATACCATAATTACTTCTTCTTTTCTTGGCATTTTTTTTTTCTAATAATTAACCTTTAGGATTTTCAGCCTCAATTTAAACAGTGAGAAAGTTAGTCAGTGGCACTAATATTAATTGGAGCCTGGATGTCCAAATCTATGCTTTCCCTTGGCAATCCCTTAAGAATGAGAACAAAAGTCTTAGAATGAACCAATAAGGTTATATACATATGAAAGAAAGTTGGCTGAAGAAAATTATTCTGAGGGGATTTTATATATAATCATTTCATTGATTTTAATGTTGAGACCTCTGCCCTCCTGCATCTTTAAGGAGTCAGGTAGCTACTATTTCTCTAGGTCATGACTCTTCCGGGAACATGACGTACATTGGAGGGGGTGCTTGGCAGCTGTGAGCCCAAAGGAGGATAAAAGGGAGGAGAAAGAAAAGACTCAAAAATCAGCCTGGTGGAGGTAGAGAGAGGGCCATCCATGGATATTTTGCTTCCACGTACTGCTCCCAAGACAAGCTGCTTCTCAATAGCAACCCTTAGCTGCCCTGACAGATCACCATCCATCTCCCTCTGAAGCCTTGGCCGGCAGTTATGAACCAACAAAATGCAAACTCCAGTTAAATAGGGAAAAGTAGAAACAATATTTTCTTTCAAAAATAAGTTGGAATTGGATGCCTATGCAAGATTGATGCCTCACGAGTGGACTTTAGATCTATGTTTATGTTGTTGTTGTCTAGTTAAAGAAGCTAATAGAAGTTTGAAATAGCTGTTCCTTTCTTTATGTGGCTTATTATTGCTTTTGTGTTTACTTCTACCTGTAAATCTCCTAATTAGAACAAAGTAGAGATTTCAAATAAGTCAGTGGATTGAAAGGTCTGGTCAAAATAATATAGAATAGAACCATATTAGGATAAACCAGACATTAACTCACAAATGAGAATAGTAAGTTTGTGCAAGAGTCTGTACGTTTGAGAACTGGGACCTCTTCTGTTTCTCCTTGTACCCCCAGCCTCTGTTAAAATGCCTGGCACATAATCTGTATTCAGAAGTTAACTAACAATAATAATGTAATAATCCATCATGATATAGTAACTTAGTACAGTTTTTAACCCTGTCCTGCAATGTCAAAATGATGCGTTCTCTTGTATGCTGATTTATCTTAACTAAGGCACCATAAAAACACAATTAGGAATGAGACTTTAAATCAATAGCTTGTACAGAACCACTTATTCTGTTCTAGAATACCTATAAAGTAACAAGCTGTCAAAAAAATAACATGGCTTTCTGTGAACATAAAGGCTGATTATAGTGAAGTTTTAGAAAGAGCATGAGGGGTAACACCTAACAAAGAGAGAAAAAGAGATATCTAAAGCGGAATGTTCAAAGGAACAAGGATGATTCTTGGATGTTATTAGATCATTAATAGGAAATGATCAGAAGATCATTCACAGGAAAAGAAAATTGTGGTCTTTCTTTTAAGTAAACATTTAGGGTTGGTAATACTCTCCTGAGACATTTTATAGAATATATTTTAAAAAGAGATTTTTTGTTAATTGCATAAATATGAGATAGAAAATGAATTTTGAATAAATAAAAAACAGGCACAAAATAGACCAACTTTACTTTCCCTGAAGTGACAAAAAAAGTAACTCTAAATTAAATTGTTTACAATTCAGGGGCACCAAACTCATTTTCACCAGGGACCACATCAGCCTCACGGTTGCCTTCAAAGGGCCGAATGTAATTTTAGTACTGCATAAATGTAGCTACTCCTTAAGAGGTAAGCGAGAGCTTGGCACTGCTGCCGAGCAGAAACAAGGTGCGGGGTCAGGTAAAACAAGGTGGAGGGCTGGATTCAGCCTGTGGGCCTTGTGTTTGCCACCTGTGCTTTACATATTTATATGAAATACTGCTTATGAGTGGATTCATTTTTCCCCAGCTAGGATCACCTAATGCCTGAAAGGAATGGCTGAAAACTTTCACTAATTGTGAACCAAAGAGTAGGCAGAGGAAGAAGTTACTTTGGCAAAAATTCTCAGTGCCAGGAAAGGTAGGCTGCCCATCTGGAGAAGAATGGAGCAATTAAACTGATAGTTAATCCAGATGGCAACTACACAGTAACTCCTTCTCTTCACGTTACAGAAATGAAATGAATTCTAGGTATACAGTTGTCAGAGTCATCAGAATTCAGTTAAACTAAGGTCTTTATATATACCTCCCTAGGTGGTGCTTTTATTGTGGACTAATCCTGTATCATTAGTTACAAATCTGAAACATGGCGAGTTTCTTATTCATAGTGATCATGTGTACAGTAGGTTGTGCCCCATATTTATGTTGCATTTTGAAACACAGCACATGTTGACATGTAAATATTATCTTTATACTTTATAATAATGATCTCTTCTTACAGACCATCACAGTCAACTGCATTTTTAAAGACATGATAGAAATTTCTTAAAACTCCTACCGATCCCTGAGAATGGTCCAGAGCTCTCCACCTAGGCAAGCTTCCATCAACATATACAAATATTTGCTGTCCTTAAATGTTCTGTACAGTCTGTGAATTGCAAACAAGAAAACAAAAGTTATAAACATTATTGTCTTTCAAAAGCGTGTAAATTTTTTAGTGTCATGACTAGAGTCTTATCCTTGGTTTGCCAATCTTGAGATTGTGTTAAAAAGGTGAGATAGATCGGAACTACAAACAGGGAAAAGGAGGCGATGGCTCACGACTAAGACACACACACGGTGGGCACCAGTCTCTCCTCCGAGATTCATTAGTCCCGGTGACGACGGACAAAGAGGGCTCCTTGGGATTCCTCCAGCCTCAATTTGGTTGAAATTTGAAACATGGACTTTTGAGCAATATTTAATGGTTATAAACACATAGTGTAGACAGATATAAAGTAGGTACCATTTTGCAAATACAGATATATGAAATTTGTGTGCTATTCACTTAATGTTCCTATTATATCCTATCTTCAGCAAATGCCACAGGCAAGTTAACTAGAAAAGCTTCTTCTGCATTTAAATATATTCCCCATTATTTTCATCTTAATGCTCCAAAAATACTGAGCTGGAATAGCTATTTCATTTTTCAAATTTTTTAAAAAATATTCAAATACTTAAAGGTTAAAGAGTTTGATTTTTCACATTTTTGTTTTTCAAGCTCTGGAGGTCTATATAGAGTTTTGGAGAAACTGAGAAGATAAAAATGAAGTGTTAGACACCCCGATATCCCCTTTGGAATATCGTGTTCTTATCCCAGATATCTTTGGGATATTTTGGGAAAAAGATCATGTTCTTTTCCTAGAATCTGATTGTCTTTAAACAAAAAGAAGGTAAAAAATCAAATCTTTTTTTCTCTCATTCAAACAAATTTTTTAAAAATCAGATTTAAAACGCCTGTGTGTGTGAATGAACTGTGTGTGGTGAGTATCAGTGGCAGAGGACTATGTGGCTGATTTGCACCTGGACTTGGGGCCCCGGGTCTTTACCTCACTATGAAGTCGGAATGAGCCCCCTGCATGATCTGCTTCTCTGAGCGGATGTGCTCCTGTTGTCTTGTATCCACAATGTGGCGTTTCTTGAGAATCTTCATCGCAAAGGTTTTGGATTCTTCACTTTTCAACTGGACCTTGGAGAAGGGCAGAAGGGAGTAAGTAGGATAATGCCCATACAGTCAGTATAACAGAGTACACTCTCACCCCCAGCTCTACAGGGGCACGGGGCACTTAAGTGACACCCCAACCACCACAACAAATCCTTGCTGGAACTGGGTTTAAAATCCAGGGCTCACAACTATTGTCCAGCATCATTCCACTAGATGAGATGAATTTTAACTGGATTCCTGAATAATTTTGTGCCCCCTTGAATTAGAAGAAGCAAAATGTACTTGATTGTCATTTCATTATTTCATTTCATATAACGTGTATGAATATATCTGATAGTTTTTCTCCTTCGATCATAGAAATAAAATTTAATTTCTTCTCTAATTTTACTTCAAGTGAGTGTGGCAAAGGAAGAATCCTATGGGCCTATGCTCTTCCTCTGTAGTCCTGGTCCACAAACATTTCTAAAGTTGTAAGATTCTGTAGCAGGCCACAGTCTCTGCTGAGATGGCAAAAGTACAGCCTTTTATTTTGTCTCCTTTAACCTCCCAGTTTTCCCATCCCTCCAGTTACAAGAAGAAGACAGGAAAAAGAAGAAGAGGAAGAAGGAGAAGGAGAAGAAAAAGAAGAAGGTAAAGGAGAAGAAAATAAGTATAAACAAGATGTTTTTCAAGATATTTTGAAAACTTTTTTTCCTTCTCAGATATGCATGGCAGCTGTAATCCTCTTGTACCACAGCCCTCGGGGTGCTGATTGAGGGACCCAAACTTGTGCCCGGATATCCCTTAGGCCTCCAGGCCTCACTCCCAGCCCCGCATGGCCCCCGGGGGCTCTGGAGTCCTCACACAGGCTGCTGGCCTGTGTTTATTGTTGTACAAAACATTTCAACAAGGGGACTTAAAATGAAAAAAGAGAGAGATGATAGAACTAATGACTTAATAGCAATATTAAAGAGTTATTATCTAGTGCTCTCCACAATAGACTCCTCAAGATAATGCCCAATAGCCCACATTATTCAGAAATAATAAAAGCCTTGAGGAAATAACATGACACGCTGTTTCTGCTTTTCATCTGAAGTCTCCATCCCCTCTTTAGTTGTGGATTGTTTATGCCTTATCTGCAGGGAGAGCGAAGTTCTTAAGTGCCTTGTACACGTACAGACTGCATTCAATCTGAGAGGGTGAGGACATTAATGTGGCAAGTTCCTTAGAAGAGAACATGAGGACACTTCAAATAAATGGGCCCCAGTTTGCTGCCAGCATTTGTGAATCTGTATGGCAGGTTAGAGGGGCAGAATGGATAGCTGAAAATGCCCGAAGCCGCAGGCACTCCAGCTGTGAAACCCTTTAAAATGACAGATTAGTCATTTTACATTAGTGATACAAATGAATTCAGCTGTAGTTCATAATAAAACACAAAATGTGAAAACCTGCTTCTCAGAAATTTGAACAGATAGGAAAGATGGCATGAAAAATGAGCTGTGTTACTCAAATTTAGAGTAAAAACAAAACAAATCATATTCCTCTTGACCCTTAAGTGACTGCAGACTCTTGCATAGTTCACACAGCTGATGTAAAAACATTCTCTCTGGCTCTGACAGTACACGTTCGTACTGTGCATGGGGTGGGAGGAAATAAGTCAGCCTTCACAGTCACCCGTCTGGACTTAAATCTTGACTTCAGTTAAGGTCTCTCTGTCTCTTATGGAGTTATTGTGACCTCGGATGAGGAGGAGCGACCAAGTGAGCATTCACTGATGATCTCTCTTCTCTTTAAAACAAAGCCAGATCATGTCACTCCTTTGCTCCAAACCCTCCAGTGGCTTCCATCTCACTCACGGTAAAGACAAAGCTATCTCAAAGGCCTACAAGGTCCCATATCATCTGGAGCCCAGCTACCCATGAGCCTCACTGCCCACTTACGCACTCTGTTGGGGTCACCACGGCCACCTTGCTGTTCCTAGAGTGCACCAAGCAAGCCCTTGCCTCCGACTGTTGGCTTGTGCTGTTCTTCTGCATGAATGTTCTCTCACAGGTACTCCCAGACGTCACCCTCTCAGTTTCTGAGTTCTTTGCACAAATGTTTCCTAATCAGAGAGTCTCTCCTCACAACAGTCCATATAAAAGGGGAACCACTCACTTCTCCCTTTTTTAGTGTTCTCTATACCTCTTATCACAAGCTAACACACTAAATATTTTCTTGATTACTTGTTTAGTATTTGTCTCCTCACATGTGACTGGGAACAACCCAAGGTTGGTGGGGTTTTTTTCTGTTTACTGTGCCAGACATAGTAAATGCTCATGAAATATTTGTTGATTAAGTGAATCAAAGAAAGAATGAAATAAACCATGATGATTTATCACTGACAAAGCCATAACAGAGCTGAGCTCCTAAGCATGTAAACTCCACATTATGTATCTCTGAGCTTAACAGGAGAAAAACCAGGGAAGCCATGAAAACAAGCAATGTAGTATTTGATCTATTTCTTCTTTCCAAAAGGACCTGTAATAATGCATAAAAGGGAAGAAAATATTTCTGTGTTGTAATGCTATACAGGAAACATACTTGACCAAATATCTATGTGATTCAGCCCTGAATTTTCAATTTTTTTAAAGATTTTATTTATTTATTTTTAGAGAGGGGAAGGAAGGGAGAGAGAGAGAGAAACTTCAATGTGTGGTTGCCTCTTATATGGCCCCCACTGGGGACCTGGCCCCCAACCCAGGCATGTGCCCTGACTGGGAATTGAACCCAGTGATCCTTTGGTTCACAGCCCACGCTCAATCCACTGAACTATGCCAGCCAGGACTGAATTTTCAATTTTTATCTTTATATTTTAACTGTGTTTTTTTCTTGAATGGCTAAAATGTGATATTCTCAATTACAGCAGCTATTAGATTAATAAAATCATCTCTAAAATAATGTCCACTTGGCTGCCAACTAGCTCTTGGGGCCAGTTAGCTCTTGGGACTATGGCCATTTCTTTAGACTTTAGCCTTCATAACTCTAGTTCCCCTCTATGTGGTAAATTCTATGATTCCAAGTGTATTTATCATTTTTGTTATAACCGGCTTGTTGCTGTTATGTAACTATACCCATATGTTTCATTTATTTCACTCTAGCTAGGATTTTAGGTTGAAAATTTTACCTACTTTGCTATTTCTTAAGTAACTTTAAACTTTCTATTAGGAAGAATTTAGGGAAATAAATGAAGCCATCAAGAGAAAGTCAGAGAGAAGTAGGGAAAGAAACCTTCATTAAACATGAACTGCTGGGCACATCCATAAACATTATTCCATTTAGTCCCAAAGTCGACTTTTAACAGCAAAAGGAAGTTTTGTTTTGTTTTCACAAACACTTCATAATCAATGACAGCAATAGCTAACATTAATAATGCTCCTATTAGGTGTCACAAGGAGTGTGGTAGATGAATTTTCTTACTTAATCTTACTGGGAACCCTTTGAAGATACAATTATTATCCCATTTCTCAGAGGAGCAAATTGAGGATTACCAGATAGGTTAACATCTTGCTTCAGCCCACAGAACTGTCAAGTGGTACAATTGTGTTTGTGTTCAGGTCTTGTTGGCCCATTCTATTTCCATTATTTGCTGTTGGCCATCAACTGAATAAAAAACAAATTAAAAGCACAGTGACTGATGCTTTACAAATGAGAATTTAATGGAACTGGCTAACTCACAGACTGTGAGAAAAGCTGAACCATGGATTATTTATTACCTTTAAGCTTCATTCATGCTAGACATGTGGTTTGAGAAACCAGCCAAATGCTCGCTGTCATTTTTTGAGGCATTTTTGGAGACCTCAGTGTGTTATCAGAGATCTGGGCATCTTAGTGCATGAATCCAACAAGGAGAAGCCAAGGGAGGTGAGGGTTAACAGGGGTGGGAGGTGAGAAAGGTTGTGATAACAGCTGGTGGGTGGCAGATGTCTGTTGCCAATGGAAGGTAGGTAGAAATTCAGAGGTCACTGGGAGTCAGTCTTATTGATTGCCAATGTAGTAAGTACTGATTACAAAAAGTTCACAAAATGTATAGCCTATCTATTAAGGGCTTCTGTTTTATCTTTGCTTGAGTGGAGACAGCCCTAGAGCTAGAACCACTGTTTAACTCTGTAAGTACCTCACTTGTTCCTTAGTGCATAACACTTAGAATGTCTACTTCCATTTTAAACTGGAATGCCACAGACTCACGGGACCCAAGATCCTCCCAGAAAAGTCAGAGGGCTGGGGACCACTGGTGTGAGCTAACTCAACAAAGATAATTGGTTATGCTGAAGGTATCTGAAAATCCAAGTACCATATTTATGAAACATCTCCTGACAAGCTGCTGACTAAAGATCATTTAAGAATGCTCAACTATCAGATTTGCTATCCCAAATTTCTGGAGTGTGCTTCTCTCTACTCTGGTTTAGTTCTTAACCAGATTCACAGAATTAGGCAAAAGGCTCATAATAAAACTTTCACAGACAAGTAAACCAATAAGCTATCAGATTTTCTACTCATGTATAAGCTCTAGGTTGTTTTGCCTCCATCATTTTCCAATATTCTTCTTTTGCCAGAAAATTCTTTATGGTCCTATTAGATAATAGCCTCAAACTCTGTGTTCAGGAAACAGCTTAATCAGTTCAGTTCTGTAGTAGCTGACTACAGGAACACAGCAGAAGCAAGGTATAAGGTAGCCATAAAATTATCACAGTATTCAAGAAAAAGGCATGAAGTAGCTGTACATTAACCCCCCTGAAACCATATGGAACTAGATTTAAAATTATTCATGTAGAAAATAAAAACATTTAGCATAAAGCAAATTTTAGCATAAGAAAGTATGAACCTGAAAGGGTTAATCTTTAGGGATAAAAAATAAGTTAATAGTTGCCTGACGTTGGGGTGGGAATGGAAAGTCTTTGCAAATAAGCACAATGGTTATTACTGGAGAGAGAGAAATGTTCTAAAACTGGGTTGCAGTGATAGCTGTACAATGTTATGGTATATAAATTACACCTCACGGGGGC